CAGTCCTCCCAAGTCTACCCTAAACAGATCCTCCTAGGGCTGGTACAGTATTAAAATATCTTCTAAAGGTAGGGAAGAAATATAGAAACAGACTGGTGTTTTCTCCAACATTTAATTTCAAAGACAACCACACACACACACCCACACACACACACACCCCCCCAAGATAGATAGAACTGAAATATCTATCTAGACATTCCAATAATTCCAAGGAGTAAATATTATCACAGGATAGATCTGAATGCACAACCATTCTGAGTGAAACACTATCATGCAAATGACATAAATATGAATATTTTATATAGATTTATCCACTATTCACTGTTCTAACTAAACAACTTGGGGAAAAGGTCACTTTTGTTATTGTTCTATACCACCATGTGAAAGAAGTAGTAGGTACAGTGGAGTAACTGGAATAAGACTTGGAAGTCAAAGAGCCTAGGGTCAAATTCCACCTCTGATGGTTACCATCTGTGTGACTTTGGTCTATTCACTTAACTTCTCTAGAGCTCAGCTTCCACCTTTTTAAAAAGGGGGTGGTGGTGAACTAGATAGTCTCTAAGGTCTCCTCCAGCTCTAGTATGTATTTCCATGTTTTGGGCTGAAGCACAGCAGATATAGTGTTGAACTTGGTAGTCAGGAACCCCTGAGTTCAAGTCCTACCAGACATTTAACTTCTCAGTCTCAATTTCCTTATCTGCAAAATAAGGATAAAATAAAATGAGGACAGATACCATACATGAATAGTACACTGAGTCCAGAACTGATTAGGAGAGGAGCAGCCATGCATTTGGGAAATTTCCCAGCGCTTTTAACAATCCCAAACTTTTCCCTAGAACAAAGGTGCATCTTTTTTAACATCAACATTTTTCTAATGTTGCTATATAATGAAAAATGATGGACCAAAGCCATTGCAAGATTAAAGTTGAAAGGTCACCCAAAGATGGTGAACCTTATGATAGAAGAGATAAGGCTGTAGCACTTGTACAAAAGAATCAGCAAAAAGGATATAATCATAGAGACATGACTAAAAAAGAAGCTGAGCAAGATCCAAGGATGACTGAAAGACATCCTGAATAATCCACACTTATCTACACAATGTCAAGAGAAATGGAAAAAGGTCCCCAGGATAGTGGGTAGAATTTCACTGAAGGATTTATGGGAAGATATGCATATAAGTCCCACAAGATGAGAAGGTATGGATGGCACATAATCTTTACCATGAAAAAAATGCCCACAACGATGAGATATCTGTAAAATTCAAATTATATATTCATCTTATTAAAACCTATATTTAATGTCACTGGTTTAAAGTAATTATATTTAGGCTAAGACATAAGCATAAAATATTTTGAACTGTGTTTAAATAATCAAGTAAATTAAAGTTCACACCAATTCTGTTCTGTAACTCTTGTACATTTAAATTTAAGTCAAAAGCTTTATGGCCATTGCATAAGAGCAATGTCAGCACACAACTAATGTAAAAGTAGGAAATGTGTTCCTTGTACCATTGATTAAATATATCAAACAATGTTTTACACAAACCTTCCATTTGGAACTGTAAATAATTATATCAGTATTCATCCTAGAGAACTTGAACTTGAACCATAAACAAAATCAGGTCAGGTGGAAAACACAGAACTCAGATTGCAAACAGCTTTGTGAAAAAGAAAGAGTAATGGATGGGGAGCCAAAGGTTTTTGGTCTGAATCCCAACTACTTATTCACCCATGTGACTTTCAAGTCTTCAGCTTTTTCACCTGTAAAATGAAAAGGGTGGGCTAGTCCCTTCCAGCTCTAACCTTACAACCTTAGGTAGATACTTATCTTAGGAAGATAAAAGGTCTATATACTCTACGGATGAGGGAACAAATATGCTGAAATTGTGGGAAAAAAAGAAAGTTATTCTGACAGGAGCATAAAGGACACAAAATAAAGAAGACCTTGGTTCAGTATGACCTTGGGCAAATCATTTACCCTTAATGTGCCTCAGTTTCCCCATTTGCAATAAGAAGTTGGACTCGATAGACCACAAGGTCCCTCTCCACTCTAAAGTCATGATCTCATAACTAACTTCAGGGGAATGGTTCAGGGAGCAGATTGAATGTGTTTTGCTATGCTTATTAAAAATTGGGGTAATAAAAGCATTATTATGAAGGACAACAGGTCATTGCACGTGGGAAACGGTCTATTGAAGAGTTAAATAAGATATCAAGATTCCTATGTAATCTAGGTCTCAATTATATTAATGTAGTTATGGAAATAATAAAATGAGTTATCATCTGGTACCTAACTGCCTTGTCTGTATTTCAAGTCACTAGCAAGGGAAAATAAAGAAGAGCAGAGAGCAGGGCAAAACAGCAATTTAAGCTAGGAACCACAGGAACTAAGAAGTACACACACAAAAGTTTAACTCTCTTAAAGTATAAGTAAAATTACTGCAGGGGCACTGATAAATCCAGAAAACTCTCTTTTGCCAAGTAAAGAGTGATGGCATACAGAATATTAAGCTAGCAACATGAAGATAGGGTAAGTTAAAAAGCAGTCCATTTGCCTATTTTCAAGGTAGTTAGGTTGTAGACAAACCAACAATATTTAAGACAGTTTCATTTTTCTTAGGCATGCTCAAAGAATCTGAGAGAGTAATTCTCCCATTTACATTTCAAAATATTTGAGTACCTTCCTCAACCTCATCTATCAAATCTTCAAAGTAAGATTGTTTTATGCTAGTATTAACTATATGAACAAAATGTTTACATAATTTTAGAATTTTGATTATTTGTACATTTTAATTATGTTAATGCATCCTAAGGCTTTGTAGCACCAATATGTATTTGAAAACACTGTACAAAAAAATCCATTAATACCACATTGAATACATCCTGTCAGGCCATCCCAGCAGGTGACAATAATCACATTCTAAGTAAAAATTGTCCAGGAACAGAGTAACAAGTCAACAACTAATCAGTACAGCAATGATATGGGAGAAACTGGAAAAAGTTAATGATTAGGGTGGGGTGGGGTAGGTCCAAGGGAAATTAGAAGTCACTTACTCCAATCCCCTCATTTTTCACTTCACAGAAACAGAGAAGTAACCTGCCCAAAGGCACATAGGCAGTAAATTGGCTAAGTCAGAATTTGAATCCAAGTCCACTGACTCTAAATCTAGCACTGAATCAATCAACTAGATGTTATTAAGCATCTACTAAGTGTCAGGCATTGTACTAAGCTACAAGGATTTTTTTTTAAAGGATAAAAAAGAAAAGAAACAGTCCCTGTCTGTATCTGTCCTGTAGAAGTAATAGGTATATACTCAGGGTGTTCCAAAAGTCTTAGTATATTTTAAGCTAGCAAACTAGTAAGCTTAAAATGCACTAAGACTTTTGGTACACCCTGGATAAATAAATACAAAAAATAAACAGTGTATTAAAGTAATTGAGAGACAGGTGTCATATCAGCTTCTACACTGACAGAAGGGAGTGCATTCCAACGAGAAGGGGGAGGGCTGCCAGACCACTTGGCAGTCTGGTGATGCCTGTGGACCTCTTCTCATAATGCTTGTTTTTTTTTTTTGTTTGTTTTGTTTTGGTTTTAATATAGGTATACTTTCCTTATTCATCTCCACTTCCTGGTTTTCCTAACTTCCTTCAAGTCTCAGCTAAAACCCCATCTTCCATGAGAAGTCTTTCCTGATCCCCCTTAATGTTAATGTTTCCCTCTATCATCTCCACGATAGTGTGTGTGTGTGTGTGTGTGTGTGTGTGTGTGTGTGTGTGTGTGTAGTTTGAATACTGTCTCCCCCATTAGACTGAAATCCTGAAGATCGGGGACTGTCTTTTGCCTTTCTTTGTATCCTGAGAGCTTAGCACAGTGTCCGGCACATAGCAGATGTTAAGAAATGCTTACTGACTGACATAAGATTACAAAACAAATACATTATATTGAGATAGTTATCAATATGTAATACATATTATTGATAGGTAGGTAGATGGTATTAAGCCCACCTGGGGTCTAGTACACACACATATATATTCTTTAGATTGTAAGCTCCTTCATTAGACTGTAAGCTCTTTGAGGGCAAGAACTGTCTTTGTTTTTACAGTGTATTTGTATTTCTATTCTCAAGGCTTAGCACAGGGTCTGGCACATAGTAGAGGCTTAATGTTTGTTTACTATTATCGACTATTTACTGACATATACACATATATATGGGGTCTGTGGTCTTTTAGCTATATATGTATTTAAATATATGCAAATATATGTATAACAAATTTTTTAAGTATACACATAAAGTTCACATCTAAAATAAACGTATGTATTTATTTAAATGTGTGCATATTACACATACAGGTGTGTACATATACATATAGAGATGTATGTATGTATGTAAAGTTCACGGACCCAGGACTAAGAACCCCTGGACTGCAAAGACCACCAGGAAGGTGAAGCCACTCAACTCTAAGGAATCAGTACAACGCCCCGTAATGTAGCTCAGCGCGTGGTAGCGCCCCCTAGACGCAGTAGGCGGTATTGCCCGCAGGACAGCGAGGGCCTCTACCTACCCATTTCGCTAGCCTGGGTCCTACTTCGTGCTAAAGGCCTGGGTAAAGCGAGACACACCGTCACAGCCATTACCAAGAGTCTGCGATGAAGGACACGGATCTCAACCAATCGCACCCTGGCTCCACAATACCCCCTTCCCTCCTAAATAAAGTGCAGAAGGAAGCGAAGCATTGTAGATAAAGAGAAAAGTTGGGCTGGGGAAAGGAGGTTAGGGTCTCCCCAGGAGCGGGAGGGAAGGGGGAGGGGAAGGAGGGAGTCTACGCGCGCGCGTAGCTACACGCGAGAGGGAGGGGGGAACTCCAGCGAGGGCTGCCCCAGCGAGAGGGCGGCTCTACGACGACACGGAGCTCCGCCCCGAGGCTCCGGCCCCGCCCCCGAGGAAGGAGGGGCCCCGGGGGCTGGAACTGGAGGAGGGAGAAATAAATAAAGGACGGTACCAGGCTGGGAAGTTCCGGAAAGCGGCTCGGCTCCCTCTCCGTGGAGCTTCACCGGCGACGCATCCCGGCCCAGCGGTGCGGGGAGGAGCCGACTCCCATGGAGTGAAAGGTGGGGTGGGGCAAAGGGTGACCGAGCCCCGAGCCTTGAGGGTGACAGCAGCTACGGAAGGGCCGGAGGAAGAGCGGCTCCAACCCGGAAAGAAGAGGCCGAGGCCACGGGCGCAGCCCTTGCGTGAAGACAGCCGCGGGGGAGGGGAGAGGAGGGCATGGGGGCGGGGCGGTGGGAGAGCGCGCGCGCGCGCACAGGGCACTCGCGGGACGAGGGAGGAGAGGAGCCTGGGGAGCTGGAGAGCGATTTGGGGAAAAGAGCGCGCCCCCGCGTACTGAGGGGCCGAGAGGAGGGGCAGGCGTGGCGTGACGCAGTGCGTCGCCTTCTCGTTCCTTAGGGCAAGTGACCGAGGGGAAGTGGAACCGGTGGGGGAGAGCTGCTGTCGTCTGGTTCATCCGCTAACGTTTGTTGGCTTTACCCTTGCTTGGGGCTATTGGGCCAGTAAACCTGGGGACCGTGAACTGAAATGGAAAAAAAAATACATCTTTATTTCAATAAAACCAGTTTTCTTATAATCCTATGTATTTTTTGCCTTGGAGTCCAGCCAGTCAGTAAAACAATTATTAAGTATCCACTGTATGTGGATACTAAGAAAACCAAAAGACAATTCCTGTTTTTGAATAAACAACCCACAATCTTTTAAAGGAGTCAGCTTTCCAACAACATTATACAAACAGGATACATACAGGAAAAATTGGTGACAGCTTTCATCACACTGCCAAAGGGATCTATTGGGGGGGGGGAGTTCTTACAATAAACCGTTATACTTACCGAGGTTGCACCAAGGGCCAAACCAAACTGCTCAATTGACTCGCCCTTAAATTCTTGCTCTTCCCACCAACTTCTTTACATGAACTGTGGATGTTTCTGGCCCAAAGGTAGTTGGGTTAGAGCTGACAGGTGGGATCCAGGCTATATTCTAGGGTCTCTCTGAAGGAAAGTGCATTGCAACAAGTTGGCAAACTGATTCATCACCAGTTTAAAAACTCAAAATTCACTAGCTTCTTTCCTGGAGGCCCTTTGCAATCTGAAACCAATGACTTTAATACAAATGACAAAGATATTTTGTATAGTTACTGTGTAAATTAAAAGTGATACAAGTATCATCCTTTCCATAGCTTCTGTCAAATTTGTCTAGCCACAAAACTTCCTGTAAAGAGTGTATATGTGTGTGTATAACTTTTAAAGTAGGTGTTGATCTGGAAATCTGGGTTTTAGTCCCACCTCTTCCACTAGCTAACTGTCCAACCTCTAGACAATCCATTTGAACTCCCTGGATGACAGTTCCCTCATGTAAAATGTTGTGGCTGTCCTAGGTGATCTAACATTCTCAAAAAACCATTCGTTCATTTAATAAAGATCACCTGACCATAAGCAGTATGATATTATGGTATCTTTCCCACGTGCTTTTCAGTAGCTTTCTTCCCTCTGGGCAATCCTTCTACTAATCCCCAAACAACACAATGCCCTAGGCCCCCAACTCTTGATTACCTCCTTTCCTGCTGGAATTTCTTTAACCAGCACTCAAATTTTTAATACTAGTAACACTTCCTTTGTCTTTTCCTTACAACAGCCCTGGGAAGAAGGCAAGGCGAGTATTATCTGTTGCTAAGTCCTGTCAATTTTACCCTTGTAACACTTTTATATTCCCCCTTCTCTCTTCTGACACTGACACCAACACCATCACCTCATCACTTCCTTCCTGGACTACTACCTCAAGTCCTGCAACTCCATCTTTTGATCAGCTGTCAAATTAATCTTCCTAAAGTACAGGTCTGAACATGTCAAACCCCTATTCAATCACTTCCAGGATCAAATGTAAAATTTTGTGTTTGTTGTTCAACACTCTTCAAAACCTGGTCCCCTCCTACTTTTCCAGTCTTTTTCACTTTACTCTCTCCTATGTACTGTTTGATCCAATGACAAATCAAAATCACTTATTAATTATGTGTCAGGGCTTGTGTTGAACACTGGGAATACAAATATAAGCAGAAAGAAATACAATCCTTCAAGGGGACCTGAGGGCAGAAAACTGGTGTCTAATTCTAATGGGAAGATAGAAGGAATCTGAAAAGGGGAGAGGAGGAAAAGGTAGTAGAAAAAGTCAGTAGTCAAGAGAATGGCCTAGAAAGGAATGAAGACATGTTTGGCCTGGGTCTCCTTAAAATCCAGGTTCTAGGAGGAACCAAACAATCAAAGGAGGAGGGCAGAGGACACCAATGTGATAAATCTAGAATTAGAGAGGATTTTCAGGGTGAAGAGGTTTCTATAGCATGCATGGTAGAGAAATTCTGGCGAGTCAAGTCCCACAAAGTTGAAGTCCAAAGTCACATTCCTCCTTAGGATTTTGCTGTTTGGCTGGCTGAAACAATAGGCCTAGATTTCTAGACTCAGATCCTCATGGCTCTCAGATTGGTCACTGGCCTCCTTGTCCTTTTTTTTTTTTAGTTACATGTATTTTGGGGTTTTCTTTGTAAGTTTTTATTTATTTTAAACAAATGCAAAATGAGAAAAGAAAAAAATTCCCATGTACTCAGTAGAACATAAGAGATGATTCAACAGAGTACAATACTTTTCCATTTCAAGGAAACTATATAAAAATACTACACATTGTTTTCAAAGCTGCCCAGTTTTTCTTTACTTCCTTGTAGGTTTCCTTTTGTTCCCTGCTGTGCATTTTTGACTTTATTTTTTTTAGTAATTTAATTGGGATGACATTGAATAAATAGATTAGTTAGGTTAAATTGTCATTTTAAAAAATATATTGGCATTACCTACCCATGAACAATAAATATTACTTCAGTTATTTAGACCTGACTTTATAAATATAAAATATGTTTTATATTTATGTTCATATAGTTCCTGTGTCTGTTTTGGCAGGTATACGCTGAGGTATTTTTTTCCTCAGTCTGGATCAGACTGACTCCTCAATCTGATGGATTTTACATTTACACATGTAAAGAGTTTTTGCTTTCTAAAAAAGCTGTAGCAGAAAAAGCACCAGGGCTTTAAACTGAAAAAACATGGCAGAGTCCACTCGTTGCCCTATGAAAAAAAGAAAACATTGTAGTGAGGACTGCTGCCACCAGAGGCAAAATGTTCTACAACCTCATGCTCAGTGGACCCAGCTGACAACAACCAGCAGTAACTAACAGCACCAGTGGAGCCAAACTGAAGAGCATCTACATGATACCAGTAGGGTAGAGTATGCATCCAGCAGAGAATACATGTATGGCAATGACAATAAAATTTGTCATACCTGCTATTCCATATCATGGAATAGCCTTGGAAGGGGCTGCCTGATGAAATCACCAGAAGACTTTGGTGGCTCTACAGTATAGGAGGTATAAGTGGCCACCTCCACAACATGTCATGGCCACACATATAACCTACATGTATGTTCCTCCACACATATATCCTGGCCACTTGTGGTCCCTATTCATGCTTCTCCATATATGTTTCCTACATGTATCCATTCTTTCTACTGATGGTGTTTGTAGAAAAGTGTACCCTGAGTTTATGGAGGAAACATTTTACTGCTACATTTCTTACTTAACTATTTTATTAAATGTCTTTGCTTTGAACAAGTCTTCTGACCAACTAACAATGACAAGAAAAAAATACTGTTGAGGGTTCATGAGTTATGGTTTTGAATGGGTGTAGACTCATGTAGTACCTTGAACCTGGAGTAGCCTGATCTTCGGGACCCATGTGCAAGCTAGAGGTACCCTCACTTACATTTATTCTGCTTGGTGAAAGCCTTAAAAGGAAAGCAATAGAATACTCAAGTACTAACTAACATAGGTCAATTTCCTGATAATATCAAGGTTGAAATATTATAAACAACACTCTGTATACGATTTGAAAAGTTTGTTTATATTTAAGAAAAGGTTTTTAGCTAATAGTTTTGCTGATGTTACTAAGCTATATGACAATGATTGCTGTTCAAACTTCCCTCCCTCTTTTTCATTTTAAGAACCACCTCATACTTATGCTTTGTAGGCTGAATAGAAGGGTCAAATTGCATAGTAGAAAGGAAAAGAAAAATGGTCATGCTTATCAGTTAGTGATACCACAGACATAATTGGCAAGCTAATCCCTAGTCACCAAGTGGAATGTTGTTTGGAACTGAATATCATCCTACGCTGTAACAGTGATATTACAAATGAAGAGGACTCTTAACAAGGCTTGATTGTATATAAAGCCACAAGCTCAGCAAGCTAGTTGTTCCACATTTTATATTAGCTTCAAAAGTTATAATGTTCTACCCAAACAGGAAGGTGGGGGGAAAGAAGAAGCAGGTCAGAATACACCCCTTTGTCCCTAATTCTAAAAACAATGTTAATTTATCAACCCCAATCTATGCTGTCCTAAAGTAATTTAACTCTTCCCCATTTTTTATAGTTATCTCAAAATAGAATGCCAAGTAATTATACAAATTTGGAACCATACACACATATCAAGAGGAAGTATCACATAGTGGAAGACTTTGGAGTGGGGAAGATCAAGGTTCAAGTTCTGATACATTATAGATGTGTGACAGTGGGGAACTTTTAAGTGCTCCCAGACAACTTTCTAATCCTATAGTTTACAGATGAGTTTCTCTTCAGTTTTCACACTGGGATTTCCCTACATCAATGAAATAAAAGAACCAAAAACATCTCTCCCTACCACCACCACCACCATCACCAGTCTAATGTAAAGCAATAGGTCATGGTGTGAGAGTCATAAGTGTGGCTTTTATCCAGTGATAGCATGGAGAGTTAAAAACATTCTAACTACATCAGCTGATTTTTCTCTCCTCAGTTTCTAAGCAAGGTCTATTTATAAGATGAGGCGGTGTAGTGTACACTTATAGAGTGCTGGGCCTGGAGTCAGGAAGATCTAAGTTCAAATGCATCCTCCAACACTTACTAGATATGTGACCTTGGGTAATTCACTTAATCTTTGTCTGCCTCCATTTCCTTAACCACAAAGTGGCACTCGCCTCACAGAATTGTTTTAAGGATCAAATGAGATAGTATTTGTAAAGCACCTAACAAAGTACCTGGCACATAGTAGGTGCCTAGCAAATGTTTGTTCCCTTTCCTTTCCCTAAATGTTCCCATGAGTCTATGAATATGTTTGCACCTCCTCAATCTGAAACGGAATCTTTTCATTCTCCTTTAATACCAAACTTCTTCAAAGCATTGTCTATAATTAGTGCCTCAAGTTTCTCACTACATTCTGTCTCCTCGATTCTATATGAATTACTCTGCTGAAACTACTCTCTTTAAGGTCACCAATGATCATTTTTAATTGCCCAATTCAGTCCTTATTTTCCTTGACCTCTCTGTATGATATG